TGACTATTGCTCAATATTTTTGTCTGATACCTGTCATGCCCTTTAATGTTCAATTGTCACCAGGCCCCTAAGGTCTATTTTGCTAAATAAATTATAATCAACAACTTATCTCTAGTGGGTAGGAGTCATAATTTTTTATTTGCTGGCAAACAAATTCCTTTTAAATAATGTAGTGGTAATAGGGTATGGTAGGTAAAACTATATTGTAAGTTATGTTCTGTTAGTGAAACAGTTAACTAAAGTACCAAGTTTGTAGAAGAGTTTTGTTACGTAAATTTAGGTTCATTACCTAACTGTAATGAAACATTATGTATTAAACTTAGTGGTAGTGCTTTTTATCATTGAAAAAAGTGTCTACATAAATTTAATAACCAATATAGTTGGCTTATATCGCAATCTGTCTGCTTGAAATTAGCTATTTAGTTTCATGAGAAAAAAATTTGTTTTGTGTAAATCGTACAAGTAATTATAGCAACAAAGCAACGGAGTTTAATAATTACTTTTTGACACATTTTGTCTATTAAGTGGATTAATTTAGTCTTATTAGAGCGGCTTTCAATTGAGTGTCGTAAAACCAAAACCAAACCAATTACTTACCAATTAGACTACTCAGCCAATCTCAAACCGAAGTAAAACCAAAACCAAAGTAATTGTTTAATTACTTTCAACACTCAATTGAAAACCGCTCTATTGTTTTAATTTAATTACATTATTACAGTTAATTTAGTCATCTACTGACCAATCGTATGATTACTTTACTGTGATATTTTATTGCAAGGTACCGTAATAAAATGTAAGTTAGTGTATTAGGGTATGAGTGTGTTAGGGTATTAGGGCATTAGGGCATTAGGGTATTAGGGTATTAGGGTATTAGGGTATTAGGTTATTAGGGTATTAGGGTATTAGGGCAATAAGGTATTAGGGCATTAGGGCATTAGGGTATTAGGGTATTAGGGTATCAGGGTAATAGGGTATTAGGGTATTAGTGTATTAGGGTATTAGGGCATTAGGGTATTAGGGTATTAGGGTATTAGGGCAATAGGGTATTAGGGTATTAGTGTATTAGGGTATTTGGGTATTAGGGCATTAAGGTATTAGGGTATCAGGGCAATAGGGTATTAGGGTATAGGTGTATTAGGGTATTAGGGTATTAGGACATTACAATATTAGAGTATTAGGGTATTAAGGTATCAGGGGATAAGGGTATTAGCGCATTAGGGTATTAGGGT